TCTCTACAGATTAACTGAGGCAGTGCTGGGACTCTGGATTTCTCTTTCATACTCCCCTGTGTGGAGACACCTGTGTTTTGTATCAAGCAGCCCCTGGAAGACCTAAAGAGCTCCTAGGGGAAGGGTGCTCACTGAGTCATGCTTACACTTTCACCCTTCTCCAGCCCAATGAAACCTGCATTCCTTTCTGCCCAGTGGCAGAGTTTCATAAGGAGGGTGGAGAGCAACTCCACCCAAACAAGCCTATAGTCTTGTTATTAGCACACACCCATGAGAGGCAGGAGTTTGATTAGCTGAACACATCATCAAGCATCACTGCAGCCATGGTCACGGACAGCATGGTTTCCCACTGCTGAGTCACAGATGAAGGTGGTAGAGCCCACAGACACAGTCATCCAAATCTCCCCCAGCAAAAATCTGTCCTTCCTGAATCACAGGAGCTGAACTCAAGTTGGCTCAATACACACATCAGTAATCTCTCTATTTTCCTATACTCCAACCATCACCATGATATCTGGAAACCTGATGGCAGACTCCATCCTGAGAAGCAACTCCCAAGAAAGACATTGACAACAGGTAGGTTGATGCCATGGCTACAGTGCCATGGGCTACAGTGTCAAACACAGTTGTTTGATGCCCATCTCATGACAGAAGGATACGTTCCACTTATCCCTGGGACTGGAGCGGCTATTGCTACAAGACAACGCCTAGTTGACCATGAGCCAACACTGTGCCCTTGTTGCCAACAACACCAATGGTATCCTGAGGTGCATTAAGAGGAACGTGGCCAGCAGGGTGAGGGAGGTTCTCCTCCCCCTCTGTTCCACCCTGGGGAGACCCCACCTGGAGCACTGTGTCCAGTTCTGGGCTCCCCAGTTCAAGAACGATGAGGAACTCCTAGAGAGCGTCTAGAGGAGGGCAACAAAGATAATGAGGGAACTGGAGCGTCTCTCCTATGAGGAAAGGCTGAGGGAGCTGGGCTTGTTTAGCCTGAAGAAGAGAAGGCTGAGAGGGGATCTCATCAACACGTACAAATATCTGAAGGGTGGGTGTCACGAGGATGGAGCCAGACTCTTCTCAGTGGTGCCCAGTGCCAGGACAAGGGGCAATGGGCATAAACTGAAGCAGAAGAGGTTCCAGTTGAACGTGAGGAAGAACTTTGTTACTTTAAGGGTGACAGAGCACTGGAACAGAGCCCAGGGGGTTTGTGGAATTTCCTTGTCTGGAGATATTCAAACCCCGCCTGGACAATGTGCATTGTGCACCCTGCTCTGGGTGAGCCTGCTTGAGCAGGGGAGTTGGATTGAGTGATCTCTGGAGGTCCCTTCCAACACTTGCCATTCTGTATAAATTCTGTTTAAATAGTTCTGGGTTGGGCAATGTAGGAGATAAGGTGCTAAATCAGAGGCAGTTTGGAGAAGAACCACTGGAAGGATTAAAGCTCTGGAGGACAGACCTTCCAAGGAAGGAGTCAAAGAGCCCATTGAAGTCTATCAAGAGGGTATCCTAGAGAAACTGCATCCCTGTGGAGGAGAAAAAAATTGCAACAGTGAGCAATTAAGTTTAGTAGAGGGGTGTAATGAGAGCCACTGGCTGTAGAAGCTGCATAAATCAAGAGTAGAAACATTTTACACAGGGGTTATTTTACACATGGCTGTTAACTGACCACTGGAACAGCTTTTCAAAGCTCGGCGTAGACTCTCTGTCACAGGACATCTGTACAAAATCTGCTGTCTTTTTCATTGAAACAAAAATTAACTAACGGACATTAGATCACACAGTGATAAAGCACATTGCCTTCGTGCCCGTGAACGCTGAATTTACGTCGTCTGCCTTTCCTTGCATATGTGACAAGCAGAGAGAGGTTATATCTACCTAGACTGCCCTATAAATAAGGAATGTCTCACAGGGGCAGGCTGGTAGTGGGTTTGGATTGATACGGCTGAAAATTCAGAGAGGCTTTTGCCACACAAACCTTTCTCCCTACACACCACGCCTCATTTATATTCTCAGATCTTCAGACCTGAAATGACATTTCTGTTGGAGACCCCTATGGCTCCTGTCACTCAGTGTTCAAAACTTTGCTTGGGGTTTATTCCACCACTGAAAAAGACAGATGGGAATTTAGGCCCTCCTGAGCCCTACGAGCTGTCTAAGGCTGTCCTAACTGCTATATCAAACCACTTCTTTTACATAGTTATCAAGCCCCATCTTAAAGCAGGTGGGATTTCTTTTTAGCTTGTAGAAGGTGCTCAATTTTACCTAGTGTTTAAGACCCTAACTCTGATTGCCAGTCCAATCTAACTCATGCTAGTCTTAACTCAGCTCTAGTCCGGTGTGACATTCCAGCTTAAGGAGTTTGCCTTTCTGTGGCTCTGTTTTCAATGCTTTCAATGTATTTCTGGGGGAAAAAAAAAAATCGTATCTCACTCAACCTCTGTTCTGCCAAACTAAAAGCGCCCAGTGTTTTCCAGTGTCATCTTTTGGGGTGGATCCTGTTCTCCCAGTCTTCCCATTAGTTTCCATCTGCATTTTTTTTTCCACCAGGACCCCATTTTTCCCTCACAGGGGCAATGAAATTCCAGGTGGGAAGCCACCAGGACTTCACGCCAGGGTGCTAGCACTTCCGTAATCACCCTGCTAACAGCCTCCCTTACACCCCAGCACACAACTTGACATCACTTGTGTTTGTTTGTATTTGGTTTTGCTTTTCTTTTCAGCTCCATTTCACTGGAAGGCTCCTAGCTATCTTTAGATCACCTCATACCTGTAGGTCTTCCTTTTCCTCCACCATTTTACTGGCATGCTCCCAGCTTCTCTCTCCCCAAAGTCTGGCATTACTGCACACTCAGCCAGTCTGCAGGAGCTTTAACAGTCCCAGCTCTGGTGGTTTCCCAATTCTCTGCCTTCCGGCCAGTTCTCAAACATTTTCAAGCTACTAGACAGAGTTAAGTGGCTCTGCACTGGCCAGAGGCAAACTATCCTACCGTGTTGATGCATCCCATGTCCAGACACCACAGTGATGGACAGCCCCCACCAAGCTGGACAGACTCATTTAATTTCCTATTTATATCACTATTCCTTCAACCACCCTGATTTATTCCAAGACTTTCTCGGTATGCAATGCCTTTCAAGCACGGGCAGACCACTACAACATGCTTGTGTGGACATCTCCAGCTCTGCAAGCTGCGTGCAATCTGCCAAGCAGCCTTTTAGTGACGTGAACGTTGGGGTGCCAACCCCGCTGCGCTTACCGATTGAAGCATAACCACCTTGAATGCTTAAACGCTGGATCTTTTCCAGTTTCGTGGTTGTTAATTAAGATATTGCTCAAATGTGCTTTGAACTGCCCAGTTACAAGAAAGGATCTGGATGCAACCAGGTCTGGTGGCTTTTACAGAGCAGAGCCTTTCTTATATACCCAGGGAGGTATGTTTGAGCTGTTTTTCTTTGTGTACCTGGTCTCTGACAGGACAGCAAGATAAAATAAAGATAAATGATGGCTTTCACTCTCACAACCAAGAGAGCATTAGGGTGCGTGTCTTTCCCTCCCTTTCCCATGGCAGGGTACTGATACTGGCTGCCCCAGCTCAGTAAGTTTTGCGTCATCCGTGACTGTGGAAATTTTCATTAGCAATGCTTCTCGAGTTACTGCAAACCCTTTAGGGAGCAGCTCTATCCCTAAAAGTGCTATTCTCAAACTGGGAAAGAGGAGAGGTTGCAGGGAATGGTAGCAACGCCCATGTTCATCACCGCAACGCACCTGTGACGAGCAAATCCCCAGTCATTAAATCAGCTCGTGGCCTTGTCTCCATCCCTGAAGTCTCTGAATACTTCACAGTGATTCACAAACTTTTCTCCCTGTGGCTTATTTAGCTGTTTTGCAGGAAATTGCATAATGCTGGGGTTTTCCACCCTGGATCACAACAAACCCAACAACAAGTCAATGAGCTTTTCCTGCGAAATATAAAATGCCACTGGCTCAGTCAAAGGAAGAAGCAAAGCATTTGTCCCTACCTGGAAGCTTTTTAAGCTGTTTCCATCAATATTGTGTAAGATACAAAAAAAAAAAAAAATTGTGTTTGAAAGGGTTGCCTTGAAATGCATAAAAGGAAAACTTTGCATATGGGGTATGCATAAAAAGAAACTTTCTATCAGGAAGGTACTGCAGTGGGAAAATGGATCCATTTCTCCATGTTGGGTTTGTTTCCCAGCTTTAGAATAAAATTTGGTAAATAGTTGATACCTTTGCAAACGAAGCACCTGCTCCGTCAACATGACCTGGAACCTGAAACAAAATGACATATCCAAATCCTAGGCTTGGAAACACCATCTCTCACGTTCACCTCCACTGACCTTTCAGTGACTCCCATGCCCAGCAGCTCAGCACCAGGGCTCAGTTAATAACTAAGCCCCTGGGAGCCAGAAACCGGGTTTGCTTGTGCACTGGATTTGGGAAAATAGACGTGCTTTGGCCAAACCCAGCCACACCAGGTTCCCACCTGCCAGCCTGGAGAGCAGTAGGCATGAAAACATGGCACAGGCTTTGGTGATGCTGAGCCAAGGCACGTGGCCTGCTGCCGCTTGCATCTTGACTGTTGTTGCCCAATGCAACACGCATGACACAACCCAGGTCTCAGCTCGCAGAGCCAGATTTGAAGGAACAAACATACCTTGTCACATTCCCCATCCAAGCACCTGTGTGGGGCCACCCCTTGCTGTGCAAACTGTGTTTTTCCTTTTCCAGGGGACCAGCCCCCAGGACATAAATCTGAAGAAGAGATGATGTACGGCAGGAATCTGTACATTGCGGTGACATCATCTCTTTGGGGAACTTGCTCCTCTACAAATCCCAATCCAGACTGGAGCTGACCTCTCCCCGGATCACCCCAAAGGAATCCGCCCACAGGATCCACAGGAGGTGGAGAGTGGGAAAAGATATAAAGCTCCCCAGGAGCAGCTCTCCTTTACTGTCCCTGCTGCACGGATTTGCTCTCAGCATGAAGACACTCCTGTTTGGGCTCCTGCTTGGCCTGGCATACGTGGAGTTGGGTAAGACCGCTGCATTCCCGACACTGCAGGAACCCCGTGGGAAATGCCTGGGAGGGGAGGGGAAAGACATCAGTGCAGAAAAACCTTGTAAGCCCCAGGTAGGGGAAATAATGCCTTTAAGATAACTTTTAAGAAGGTCAATGGAGAGGGTGAAGGGGAAAGAGGATATACATTCCTGGTGCGGAGAGCCGTGACGCCTGATGGAGTGCTGTCCATATTGTTTGGACCCACAGGTGGTCACCTGTCACCCGTACCTTCTCACACTGCACCCTGGGATGGAGGGGACTAACAAGCTGATTTATAAGACTGAGGTGTAAATGACAGCCACATGGCACAGGGCAATACTAGCACGGGCAAGGACTTGAACCAACAGCCTCTACTTAAGCTTCCAGACATCCTGTCCCCTTAGGGATGGGATGGGGTATGTTCATCCTGAGCTCCTGTAATCCCTAAAACCTCCCAGCTGGCTGTTGGAAGCTCTGAAAACCAGAGGGTGGGGTTCAGTATAGATATGGGCGAGGGCTTAAGAAATAACTCCAAGGCTTTTGGAAAGGCCCATTAAACCACCAGCTCCAGTGTTTTCACTAATCTCCAGAGATTAGGATATAGGTGGAAATAAGCAATTTTCCTGGGTCTGTTTAGGTTTGCTCTCTGATGGGTCTGGGTCTTGGACAAGCTGGCAACAGGGTCTGGTCATCACTGTGTTCTTACTCCATCTATTTGTGACCCACTGCAAATACATCCTTGGCCTGGAACAGGGTCATCCTTGGGGTGACACCAACCCAGTGGGTTTTAACCTACAGCCCAGAGATCATCAAGCTGATTTGATGAGATTCAGAAAGATCTCAGAGAAGAGGCAGCTTGGGCAGGGGTCGAACATCTCCATCTGGAGACATGTCTGTATGGAGATCATTCAGAGGGCTGAAAGAAGGCTGAAAGGCATACACCTTGCAATTCTTTATGGACGGAAGTGTGTTGGGTCTCTTCTTCAGGCTGCATGGGCTTTTTTAATCCCCCTACCTCCATTCCTCCTTCTACCTGTCTCCAAAGCAAACCCAACTGCTGGCTGAAGGATGTGCTCTGGGTCAAACCCACCCCAGGGCTGAACAAGGACAGGTGCAGTTATTTCTATATAACTACTACAGTTTTTTTTTTTACATTTCAATACCTGCTGGGGTTTTTCCTTTCTTTCTTTCAAGATATTTCACAGGTGGTGCATTGTGTGTTTCTTTTCCTTCTTTGGGGTCTAGTCCTGTCCTGGATTTAATGGGATTGCTGAGGAATCTGAGAACAGGTTTCCACCCACAGGTCTCAAAGTGTTTTACGGAAACAGAAAGGCATCACCACCTTTTGCTTTATAGTGGAGATGGAGGCAGAAATGGCTTTTCTGGGAAGATCCAGTGGGAGGCAGCTGGTCTAGGCACAGCTCTTGCAGTTCAGGAACATTTGAAATCAAGGGGTAGAAGGTGCTGTCGGACAATGATGAATGGTGATTTATTGCCCTCAGATCAGGACACAGAGCTGTCCTCTGTGTTCAGTTCTTCTCTTTTACTCTGGTCCTTATAGTTTTGGGCTTTCCTCTTCCACTGCAGCCTTCCAACAAAACCAGTATCCTCTGAATGCCTCACCCAGAGTCAGTGAAAGATAAGGGGCTGGTGGTTTTCTTCCTTAAAATTGCTCTTAACTGGAAGTAAACACACACACACCCCCCAGAGCCCATGGCACTGCCTTGTTCACTCATGAAAATGATGACATTTAGAAAGCAGCTCAACCCCAAAGGTTGCAGATCAGTTTCTCAGATGCTTTAAGCTAGCTCCATCCATACATGAGCCAGTCCCACACGCTCACTAACATCCCTATGCTTGCAAGGTTGACAGCATTGTGTTTTCTCTCTCAGTGTGTGGTAGAGGTTAAAATATAAAACAACCTCTCATGGGTCATTTGGAAGGGATCTGCTGGGGTGCTCAGCTCAGGTAAACAGGGATGGCTCTACCACACCTGTTTACAAAAGATATGGCCACAAGAAGACCACCACTGCTCATGTTAAAAAGCCCTTCCTACCCCTGCAAAGAGGACAAAGAAAGCTTTTGCACTGTGTAGGCTCTATTGCACAGCTGAATTTTCCAAAGGAGGTGCTAAGAGAAGTAAATGCCGTGAAAATTCTTTCTAGACTCAGATGGTCAAATAACCACCTTCAGAAATGTTTATCCTTATCACAAAGTCCCAGAGGTTTCTCTCTAACAGCAGATGCTGCAGAACTAGAACAAGAAAACACCGTCACGCTGCAATCTTACCAATAGATGGCAGTGGACACATTTGGGTGGTTCTTCAGCTGCCGTGTTGGTGGAAGGCAGGCAGTGTAGAAAATATCAGACCAGGTTGGTTTCGGTCATCAGGCCACAGCAGCATGACTCCAAAAAATATGAACACTTGGTATCTGCTGGCTGCGGACACACAGGTCTCGTACCAAGACTTTTGAGCAACTGCTGTGATCAATGCTTGCATATGCAAAGGTATCGCTGCGTCGGCAGGCAGCCAGCAAGAGCTTTGTAGCATCATCTCTTTCAAAAAGCAGCAGTAGCCCCTGATGGAAGTATTTTTTAGGCCACATTCAGCCCTTAGGATGTCTGGTACAGCTCTGACATTGAAATTCTGCTCTCAGTTACTAAGGCCTGCAGAAATCCCTCTAAACAAGCGCGAAGGAGCTGTCACTGTGGGTGGAGGGACGGGGGAAGTGCCAGTCTTTCCGTGCTGCGGAATGCTGATTTCAACAGAAGGAGCTATTTTCTCTCTGTTACAACATCTCTTACAGAGGATGCAAAGTTCCTGTCAAAGCTGCTCAAGCATTAGGTCCCTCTAGATCCCTGCTCTTTTTGGGCTGCTGACCCCCCAAGGTAGTGATCATGCTCAACTCCCACAACACCATCCTTGTCCTTTGGTGCTGGGGTTTTTCCTCCCTTACATATCCAAGCTTTGCCACTGCCTCCAGCCACTGTGTCTTGGTCAAGGGGACATGAAGCAGTGACCATCACATAGTCCCCACCACAAAGCAGAGAAGCTGCAGACTTGCTGTCTTCGCTGCTGCGACCACCTCAGACCCATTCTGTTCCCTTCTGCAGCCCAGTCCTTACGATGTTACACGTGCAAGGAACCAACGGATATTTCTCAGTGCAGAACAGCCACCCTGTGCCCCCCAAAAGCCACCGTGTGCACAACAACTCTGCATTCCGTAGACTCAGGTAAGTTTGTGAGTAAGCTTGCTGTAAGTGCTCATGAGGAGAGATGCATCCTTCCTGGGCCGAATTACCTCATGAGCTTAGAACCATAGAATCATAGGATGGTTTGGGTTGGAAGGGACCTTTCAAGGCCATCTAGTGCAACCCCCCTGTGATAAGCACAGACATCTTCAACCAGATCAGGATGCTCAGAGCCCCATCCAACCTGACCTTGAATGTTTCCAGGGATGGACAGGGCATCTACCATCTCTCTGGGCAACCTGGGCCAGTGTTTCACCACCCTCATTGTAGACAATTTCTTCCTTAGACCTAACCTGAATATCCCCTTTTTTAGTTTAAAACCATCAGCCCTTGTCCTATTGCCACAGGCCCTGCTAAAAAGTCTGTCCCCATCTTTCTTAGAAGCTCCCTTTAAGTACTGAAAGGCCACAAGAAGGTCTCCCCGGAGCCTTCTCTCCTCCAGGCTGAACAATTCCAACTCTCTCAGCCTGTCCTCAGACAGGAGGTGCTCCAGCCCCCTAATCATCTTTGTGGCCCTCCTCTGGACCTGCTTCAACAGGTCCATGTCTTTCCTGGGCTGAGGACTCCAGAGTGGAGTAGATCAGCAGAATTACCTCCCTCAACCTGCTGGCCACACTTCCCTCTCCCCCTTCCCAGTCCCAGCTTCAATTATCCTTTAACTTCCTTTTAAGAATCCAGGTGGAGTTACCCAGCTTTGGAGTGGGAAGGAGAGAAATCCATCAGATTCAGAGCCTCATAGTGAAGCATGCAGGACTCATCCTGCTTAGTCTGTTTTGCCTTTCTTACCTCTATGCCCTTACAGACCCTGAACCTATAGATGTGGGCAAACACACCGCAGAAACCCAGGGGCTCTTGACCTGTTTGTAGACGCTTTCACCTAGCACCAACTGTCCCAGCAACGACCATGCCAGCATTACACCAGTGTTCCTTGGCACTGCCACCTTCTACACAGAGCCATTGCAGGAGCAACTCACCTGAACAAAATACACAAGGGACTTGTGTCCCTTGTCCATGCTAGAATAAATTTAGAAGGAACAGGAAGGAGAGAGGGTGGCAGCAGGAAGAACCAGTGGACCTGTTCCTACAAAGAGCAGTTTGGCTTACAGGATCCCAAGGATTAGAGATGTGAAACCCCTTATTTGCCTTCATTTACCTATGAACACTTTACTTTTAATTCCCCTCCATTGCACAAAGTCAGTGTTTCTCAATACCAGCTGTCTGCACCTTCCTTCACCATTTCTTTCTCTCTCTTCTTCTTCCCCCCTCTAATCTGCCTGTTTCAGGTTACCCCTTTTTCGGCAACATCACTGTGACCAGAAGCTGTGAGGAGGAATGCATGTCCAGTAGTGGGATAGGGGCGTCCAGACCCAAGTCATGCTGCTACACTGACCTCTGCACCGATGACACCAAGAGCAGCAGTGGGGTGATAAGCAGTTCTGCAGTGCTGGGTCTGATGGCCATGGTTGTCGGCAAGCTCCTCCAGTGAGTTCTGTAATGCTGCAAGTGTTCATGCTCCAGCCAAAACATCTCCACTCCTCTTTCTGCCAAGCTGCCTTGTGAACTCTTAGATGCCTTGGGAATAATCTTCTTCACTGATGTGTGGCTTCACCCATCTCTAACGCTGTGACTTCAAGTAGATGCAAGCCAAGAGTTTGGGCACCTGGACCTAAAACCCTCAAATTTCCAGTTTCCAGCTGCTAAGCAGATGTTCCTCACCTTCAGCTGTTTCTGGCCCCCAGGACCCACATCTCTCCCTACAAATTTCCTCTGGGGGGGACAGCAGTGGATGAAGCACAGCAGCAGGAGGGCCTGTGCAGTGCCATCAAGGTTGGTGCTCTGGAGTCACCCTCAGCAAAAGCAGGGGCTGTATGCACACTGGACATGGACACTGCTTTTTTTCCCAGGTCTCCTCAACCTCCCACGCAACCTGTGTCTGTGGGTCTCTATTATATTCCTGTGCACCACCCCCAAAAAGAAATCCTGCAACCCTCCATCAGGAGCTTGGTTTATTTGCTTTCCATTTTCAGTGCCATCTCCTGAGTCAGAGCAGAAGATGGGTGGTGGTCCCCTCTCACTACCTGCTCAGCAGAGTGCGGTTTGCAGTTGCAGAGAGCTGACACTTAATTCTGTCTAGACTAAACTATGGAATGAGCTCAGAAGGGCTGAGCCTTTATGTGTTGGGATGGGATATATTTCTGGAAAGCTCAAAACACTCCCTGGACTAACAGGCCAGGGAAGGTTAGACCTGCAAAAGCAAATTTGGGAGTTTGGCTAGCCAAACCCCTCAACAGCCCTTTGCCTGAGCTCGGGCTGTAATCAGAGCTACTGGATTTCCCTTCCCAGATGTTTTCCAGACTGTTTCAAGCAACTTCTTCTGTTACTCTGCCCTCCCCCCATCCCTTCACAACAGGGATTGCAGGAAAGGAAAAGTAATGATTATCCCAGACCCTCAACTCTGGGAAAAGCCAACGGCTTCACTCATGCCGGTTGACAGCACTACTGGGTCCCAGCTGGGGATTTGCTCCCTTCTCCCCTGGAGAAGCTGTAAAATTGATTTTGATGCCCTGACTGCTGTAAAACCAGACAGAGTGGAAGCGGATACAAATGAGCCAGGCGTGCCCAGCTCGCAGCCCTCTCTGGTGGAGGAGAGCCAGGGAACTTGCCATTTGCTCTGTTCCTATTGCCAGGGCTCATCCAGGGGACAACCTGTAAGAGCAAGGGCAGAGTGGAACATGGGTGCATCTCACGCACCATCCTTGTGCATTCATGCCATCCCTGCAACCCCCTCTGTGGCAAAGTCCATTTTCACTCTGTTTCCATGAGACACCAGCCAGGAAACTAAAGGAAAAAGCAGGAGGACTCTTTTTCTTCATTGCACAGAGGTAATTGTTTCTCAAGGTCTGTCTCAGTAGCATTCACAAGAAAACTTTGACAAGGCATTGCATTCCTTGGCAGAGGGCCCCATGCAAGCCTGAGGCTCAGGAGGTTGATGAGCCCCTTTTTTTCTGGAGGTGAAATGCTCTTTTCTTCACTAAACCAGCCACAGCTTCCCTGAGACACCCTTTCAACACCGGAGGGCTACAGGGAGAAAAAAAATGTCATTGAGAGGATAATGATTGGGAGCTGCTCAAACACTGATATTACACCCACCCTCGTGGACACCAAGCACCAGCTTCGGCTTCCAACTCAACCTGTTCTCTGTTTCCCTGCTCCAAAACCAGTCTGATGTGCCAGGCCAGAAGCAAACCGTCATCGCTACCATCCTTAGGTCAGATCGCCTTTTCCAACCTGGGTTCAAGCCCTGGAGTAAGTCACTGTCCCCAGTGGCCTTTCCCCACTGGCCGCAGGCTCCTGTGCTGTCCTAACATGGGCTGAACTTTCCTCCATCTATTGCACATGCAGATGGGGCAAGGTGGGGATACAGAGGGACTGGGAGGGTGAGGGTTCCCTTCTGGGTGAGAACTTATCAAATAAAGTTGGATCCTCCAGTTTTCAGCCTGCGGCATTTTTCTTGTGCGCTCAGCCTTGACCCTGGGAGGAAGCATGGGGCAGCAAGGGCTGCAGGGAGGCCATGTTTCGGGCTGGCTATGCAGCTCCCAACCTGCCCTGTGGCAGAACGGGGAAAAACTACAGATGGGGACAAGAAAGGGATTGCAAAAGTACTCCTTGTAAGAGCTAGATTTAAGAGCATCCCCACTGGAAGAGGAGGGGGAGAAGGGTGGCAGAAGGGTAAAGGACTGTCCAGTGGCTACAGGGGGCTCATCTGGGGCATGCACAGAGAGAACTGGAGGTTTTCTTAGTGCAGCTTCTCTTCCAGCAGGCAAAGAGAAAGTGGCTGAGCTCAGCACGGCAAGGCAAGCAGGCAACCATTTGGGGCACGGTCTGTGCTGCAAAGATGCTGCGGGTGGGGACTACTGCCCTCCTTGTGTCACTGGTGCTGGCTGTGAGCATCCTGTATCACACCGCCCTGCAGGTCTCGTCACCTGGGGCTTGCCTGTTAACATGGCTCCCTCACCAGGACAGCGAGCTTCTACCGTAGCCAAAACAGAGTCAAAAGCAGGGTTTAGCTTCAAAGCACTTGTAATATGTTCCTAGATTAGGTGAGGTGAAAAGCCCTTCACACAGAGTATCGGGGGTACAAAATGTCCTTTTGCATTAATATTCATCTGTTCACGCTGTGTTAGCTGTAAGCCACAGGCTGAAGAGTCGTCACCGGGAGCCCTCGCAAAGTCTGATTTGCTGCTGCTTTGGTTATTGCTTTTATTTATTCTTGCTATTTGGTCCCTAGGAGTTAAACTCAGCAAGCACCGCTGCCCCAGCAAAGGCAGGACACTGCGAGGGGTTTCAAAGGAGTTGGCAGACTTTTGCGTCACTGGGTCAAGTGGACACACGGAGGGAGAAGCTTAAATATAGGCTGAGTAAAATAGAACAGAGAGAGATGTGTCTCCAAAGGGCCATAAAAAGACTTGCAGCCTCTCGGCCCTGCAAGATGAGGCTTCGCAGCAGGCAGCATCCAGCGCTGCTGTTGTTGTGTTGAAGGATTTTACCTGCCCCTCTGGGGGCTTGCTCTTCCCAGCAGTCATTCTGTACAAGTCCAGAGACTTTACCTCCAGACATGAGGGGCACTTCTTGGTGCCTTATGCTTTATCTGGCCAAGAAGTTGCCTTCTCCATCACCTTCTAGCCCTTCTGCAAATGTGGGGCAGCCCTACAGATGTGCAGCCCTGATCTGCATCACCTGCTTTCAGTTGCAAATCTGCAAATGCTTTTGTCCATCTAGAAATTAATGAGAAAAGCACGACAGAGACTAAACTTTCAGGGAGGTGTTTGCAGACCCACATTAGTGAGGATATTCAAGCTGGTGTACCCTACTGTTGAGTCCCACCTCCAGTCAACCATCAGGGCAGTACATCTGCCTTGTGTGGCTTTTCCTCATGGGCTTCATAAGTCTTGAGGTGGAGTTGATATTGCAAAAGATAGTTCCTCCTCTGGAAACACAGTGCACAACCAGCCTTGGCTCGGGCTGAATCAGGACCCGGTTCAATCCTGCTGCTTTGACTTGGGCAAGATTCCCACAAAGGCAACACTGGTGCTATGGGAGAGCAAAGCTACAAACAGCATGGTTAATACTCAGAGGACTGAGGTTTCCAGTACGGATCATTTGCAGTTGCTTTCCACTAGTTGCAGCAGGACACTGGTCACGGCATGCATAGCCATGAGTGTTGGTAATTATCCCAGCGTGCCCTGATTGCAGGCCGGCTCGAGCTGCAACGTGGGAAACACCAGGAGCTGTTTCTCTTGTTGTTGGAACGGGGCCAGAGGAGGGCTACAAAAATGATCTGAAGGCTGGAGCCTCTCTCCTATGAGGCCAGGCTGAGAGAGTTGGGGGTGTTCAGCCTGGAGAAGAGAAGGCTGCAGGCAGAGCTGAGTGTGGCGTACAGTACCTAAAGGGGGCCTATAGGAAAGATGGGGAAAATCTTTTTAGTAGGGCCAGCTGTGACAGGACAAGGGGGGATGGTTTTAAACTAAACCAGAGTGGGTTTAGACTGGATCTAAGGAAGAAATTCTTTACAGTGAGGGTGGTGAAACACTGGAACAGGTTGCCCAGAGAGGGGGTGGAGGCCCCATCCCTGGGAACATTCCAGGCCAGGTTGGCCGGGGCTGTGAGCAACCTGATCTAGTTAGCGGTGTCCCTGCTCTCTGCAGGGGGGTTGGACTGGGTGACCTCTAGGGGTCCCTTCCAACCCAAAACATTCTATGATTCTATGTTTCTATGATTCTATGATTTCATAGAATAGAATCATAGAATCATTTAGGTTGGAAAAGACCTTTAAGATCATCAAGTCCAACTGTTAACCTAACACTGCCATCCCACCACTAAACCATGTCCCGAAGCACCTTGTCTGCCCAGCTTTTAAATCCCTCCAGGGATGGGGACTCAACCACTTCCCTGGGCAGCCCCTTCCAGTGCTTGACAACCCTTTCTGTGAAGAAATTTCCTAATGTCCAACCTAAACCTGCCCTGGCGCAACTTCAGACCATGTCCCCTCGTCCTATCATCTGTTACCAGGGAGAAGAGACCAACGCCCACCTCACTACAGCATCCTTTCAGGTAGTTGTAGAGGGTGATCCTTTTCTCCAGGCTGAACAACCCCTGTTCCCTCAACCACTCCCCATCAGCCTTGTGCTCCAGACCCCTCACCAGCTTCATTGCTCTCCTCTGGACATGCTACAGCAACGCAACGTCTTTCTTGTAGTGAGAGGCCCAAAACTGAACACAGTATTCAAGGTGGATACAGTATCCTTTAATTACATATATTTGGTCTTCTCTGGGAGGGAGAGGAGGGGAAAAAAAACCCTCATGTAGCCCTCTTGGAAGGTGCATTAGACCAGGTGATCATGAAAGAAAAGAGAGGAGACTAGGGCAGAAATTATTGCAAAACTCCAAGAGAAGAAAAAAAGAAGGGGATATTTTTGTGGTCCAGAC